CCCATAACCCATCAGACAACTCCTCACCCTGTATACGCTATGTAGCCAAGGGACAGAGGATGAATACGTGCAGCAGGAACAGGGAAAAGGGCAAGGGTCGTCAGTATAGAGGAGCACCAGACGACCCATGCAAAAGTTACACCTCAGCAGGCAGAGCAACCTGTCCTCATATGCAGAGAGGCAACATATGAGGACCAATCAATGTGTCCCACTGAAACATTCATATGCACAGATTCAGTCATTGTAACGCCAGATGAGCAATGTGATGTCATTGATTTGTATGCGACAGAGGACATTAAGAACGACAGAGTCAACACAAAATGCTGTCTACCATTCCTACACCAAACCTTGTTCATAGGCCCAAAAGGCAAGGTGGTCAGAGTCCAAGCACTATTCGATGAAGGGGCAATGACAAGTGTCATGTGCATGTCGGTCTTCAATCACATCAAACACAGACTGGGAAACTGGCATCCATCCACAAAAACACTTTGAATGGCCAATGGCATCATAGTTAAATCAGAGGCAGTCTGGAAGGGAGAAGTGATAATCGGGGGAATACACGCTGAAGGAGAGTTTGAAGTCTTGCAAAGCGGAGGAGGGTGGAAGTTCTTATTCAGAAAACCAATGCTACACACCTTCAAAGCAGTTCATGACTACGAGGATGATGAAGTTCAGGGTCAGGGTCTGGAGGCATGACAATCCTGCACAATCAATCGCAAGTGCGGAAAATGAGCGTTGAAGAAGCTGAAGAATCAGAAGCAATGCACATGGTGATAGAAAGGGAGCTGAAGATAGAACAAACCATCATCGAAGAAACACCGGGCACCACGGAACAAACCATTGCAATCTGTATCACCACAGACGGCAAACCGATACCAGAAAATGAAATAGAGCCCCTGCTGAAAGAAATACCTACAGACTTCTTAGCCAATGACGAAGCAATATTCACAAGACTCACCCATCCACACAACCCCAAACGAGTAGTCTGGATCATGAAACGAGTGCAGTACAGGGAAGATCTTACAGCAGAGGAACTAGAAAAGATAAGAGCATTAGTTATGACGTATGCTGACATATTTGCTTGTTCACTAGGGGAAGTATTACCAGTTCCGGGCGCAGTACATCGCCTAGACATACCAGAGGGAGTAACATTCAATCTTCAAGTACATCAATGACCACTCACCACCCCACAGTTACAATTCCTACACAGCAAAGTAGATGAAATGATAGAGGCAGGGATTATTGAACACGCACCATTTTTCGCTAGTCAAATGTTGTGCTAACACCGTTCTTGCGAAAAAGGCCCATAAACAGGAGGGCATGACACTTGAAGAACTCCAATGTGCCATTAACAATCAATGTCTAAGGCACAACCAGTCACCAGTGTTCACTCTTCTGGAACGTGAAGTAGTGGAAGGACCTACAAGAACAAGCTGGGATGTAAAACCTCAAAAATAAAGAATATGTCAAAATTTTAATGAGGTTAATCGAGTAATGAACATCGCACCGATGCCACAAGGAGATATAAGAGCCAAACAACTACATCTCAGTGGGCATAAGTACGTGTCCATATTTGATTTTTTATCTGGGTTCTACACAGTGGAAGTCCCAGAAGAATTGCAACCATACACGGCATTCTACGTTGAAGGCCATGGTTACTTTTGGTACAAATGGATGCCTATGGGACTAACAGGGGCACCATCAACATTCTCAGAAATGACAGCAAGTAACCTACACGACATTTTGGTAGACAGCACAATGGAACTGTTTGTGGATGATGGAGGGTGTGCAGCGAATAGTTTCGAGGAGATGATGGGAAAGCTGGAACAGATATTTCAGAGGTGTTGTGAACACAGCATCTCTCTATCACCTACAAAGTGCCATTTATTCATGACAGAAACCATATTCGCCAGTGCAAATGTAGGGCCTCAAGGAGTACAGCCAGACCTGGCGAAACTAACAGCAGTCGTCAACTGGGAACAACCAGATGCACCGAACTTAGAATCATTCCTAGGACTCACCAGCCACTTCCAGGACTTAATCCAAGGGTATGCGCTAAGAGAAGGTCCATTACGGAACCTGGTTAAGGCAGCACTGTTAACAACACCATACACAAAGAATACTTATAGACACACCCTAAGAGGCTTCAAACTGCAAGACCTATGGCAAGAGAAACATACAAGAGCCTTCCTAAATCTAAAGGCAGCATTAGTATCAAAGCCAATCTTACAAGTGCCAAAGTATGATGGCTCGAACTTTGTGGTGACATTAGACGGATGCGCCGAAGGTTTCGCAGCTGTCCTGTCCCAACAAACATGCACACAAAGCCCATCCAGGAAATGGACAGAACACCTGCACCCAATCGCATTCGCATCCAAAAGAACATTGTCAATGGAACAGAACTACAAACTGTTCTTATTGGAGTTCGCAGCCCTGAAGTTTGCATTGGATAAGTTTTCAGACACAATATGGGGTTTCCCGGTCGAAGTAGAAACTGATTGCCAAGCACTAAAGGACATAATCATCAGCAATCACCTGAACACAGCTCATGCAAGATGGCACGACGGAATCTTAGCGCACAACATTGTGGATACATTATATTAATAAGCTAGTTAGTAAATAAGCTGACTTAACACACTAAAAGGATTGATTTGTAAGGTTGTTCTTACCAATACATGTGCTGAATCATGCTTAGTAAGATAGCCTCCAATAGGTATAAAGGAGGCCATTTTGCCACTGTCAATCTAAGCTTCCCACTTTAAACCCTGTTCTCAAATCAAGTGAGATTACCTAAGAAATAAAGTGCAGGCAAAACTAGTGCCTTGAAGTAAGACTAAGAAATATCTATCTGAGTTATATACTACCTTACAGGGGCTGACTATATAACAAACTAAACTTCACTCATACAAATAACCTCTCTCTTTTACAGGAAGGGAGACACAAGCTAAGAGAACTACTTCACACTGAGGCAAACTTTCATAGGGTGAAATAAACCTATTCAATTGACAAAGACCTCAAAGCAAACCCACAGAGAGAAAACAAGAAGGGGACATTTTTAAGTAAACCCTCCCAAGAACTCACATATTATCTACCATGAAAACTAGAAAAGTCGTAGACCGTGTACTTAAGGACTAGCAAGAAGTCTTATCCTATATAGTTCTGCCGTCACTATATATGTGTTGTATATAAGACCCTCAAGTAAGAGGACACCAGAAGCGCGCAAGACATCGAGGATCACAATACTTGATTGAAGATAAGAAGCTCTGGAAGTTACAAGGTGGGACCACAGTAAGAGCTCATAGCAGGGTAGAATGCATCAACAAAGAAGAAGCCCAAGCACTAGCTGTGAAACAGCATAGCAAAGGCAGACATTGGGGACATGATACGATCAAAATAGGACTAACCGATCAAATTTACAGTCCAAAATTAGACACATCCATCATGGCTGCAATAAGCGACTGCAGTCACTGCAAGATTCTCAGTACACCACATTTACACTTGCTATTAGAACCAATAACACGCAGGCATCCATTTGAACTATTAGTAGGAGATTACCTCACCCTGCCAAAGGCGAAAGGATACAATATCTTGGGAGTATACTTGGCATTCTCGCAACATATCTGGGCGCTCAAGTATAAGTCCGGCGGAACAGCTAACACAACCATTGATGGCCTAGAGCAGATCTTCAAGAACCTCACAGTGCCTGAAACCTTCATGTCCAATGGAGGGAAACACTTCAACAATGCTGCCGTTAGAAGATTCTGCGCTAAGTGGAATTGTAATACTCATGTCATTGCCACATACTCACCATGGGTCAACGGCCTAGTCGAGGGAGCAAATAAGATCCTGTTGCATGTATTGAAGAGACTGTGCACACCAGACCTAGGAGAGGACAATCACAAGGCACTTACATGGGACGAACTACCACTCAATTGGCCTGATCACTTGGACGACGTGATTACAGCACTTAACTATCACATTCTCCCAGCACTCAAGTTCTCGCCAAAAGAGTTACTCCTAGGACAAGTAGTCAACACCCCGCGCACAGACCTTAGCAATAGCACATCCGCAATAATTCGCAATATCCACATTGGACGTCAGCATGCAGATGGCATACATAGCACAACATCAACTAGATGGGTATGACACTGCAGTTTTACACACTATCAAACGAAAGGCTGCATTTGATAAACGTGTCCTTGAACACACACCAGGTGAAGTTATCTTTCATAACGGACAGTTAGTACAATTTTATCGCAGCAGTTTAGATTATACATTCAAAGCCAAACGGAAGCTACTCCCCAAATGGTCCCCACCCCATCGCATCGTTACAAGGATCCGGAACTCCTACAAGGTAGAAACATTGAAAGGAAAGGCAATACCAGGAGAGATGCATGCGTGGCACCTTCGTGTGTTTATACCTAGAGAAGGAACCAAGTTAGCCGAAGAACAACAGAAGCTCGAAGAACATCAGTTGATGCAGGAGGAAGAGATCAATGACAAAGACAAAGACAAATCAAGCACAGATGTACAGGAAAAAGGACACAGGATAGATGAGGAAAGTGAAGAAGACCAAAATGAGGAAACAGTTGACGACGAAGACCAAGAACAAGAACATACAAGAGAAACGAGAGAATGAGAGAGTGAAAACGACAACAAGAGCAAGAATGATGACAAAGACCAAGAAGGGCAAGGATGAGAGAGCAGGAGAGATCAGTGAGCAAGCGACAAGGATACCACTGGGTTTTTTTCAAGGGGGGCACTTGGAGTGGGGCACCCCCTAGGCAAGGGGTTGCAGAGGCAGGGGTTTTCTGGAAGTTCAAGTAGCTTAGTTAGCCAAAGTGTGCCATTCAGGGCATGGCAGTAGACACAGACTTCATCCCATTCAGGTGCCTTGCACATTCACCAAAGCTGGAGCTACCGCTCCAGCATGGAATGGAGTGAGGGGGGATAGTAGAAGGTGGCGCTTTCCATTGTCATATAAGCGATCGTATTTGAGAACACAAGCCATTGTAAATTGAGACTAACTTGAGAATGCCTGGTTCGTGACATTTGATGGAGTGTTGCATATTCATGTGAAGTTTTTCTGCTGTAAAGACATGAGATTTGTCGTACAAGTGGCAAAGTACGCATGAATGCACTATTGATAGATGCTCTGTATGACCTCTCGAGTCTCTCCAATTCAAACTTCCATTGATGAAGACAGTCCTGAATGCAAGTTTTCACAGCGTGAGCATTCAACCTCAACCAGCTGCAGATTGAGCTCCATGATGTCATTGACATGACCACCATGTAACTACGCCTCCAGTTCACAGACAGAAGTGTCATGTGCATCTAAAGTCTTCTCCAATGCAAGGATAGTGGTGATGACCTCGGCCGCCTTGTTCCTGGATTGACCTAGTCAAGATATTGAGTTCAATAAGACAACAACAATAGGTAGGTATCCTCTTACATGGAGCAGGTCGTGTCTGGTGTGCAATCTGAGCCTTCCACTCTGCACGAAGCATATCCCCATTGAGGCCCAAGTCTTGTAAATTGTCCAGAGCCGCATTCTTCTTCATCTGGCAGTGTATCCAATGCCGATGAAGCCAATGGCCAAATCCTTGCAGCGATCTCATGCCAAGGTGGCAAATTTGAGTATCAAGCATGAAAAGACACTGATTGAACTAGAGTAGAGTCAGACTTGTAGAATGATACATGGGTGGTACTTACCCCAGAAACACATAGGGAGGGGATGAGTTGCTTTAGAGAACTCCATAGTTGTTCACACCCCTCACCATCAGACAGTCCAAAACCTTCACATTTCCTGGGATGGTAAATAATTTGACAAGGCCGCTGGTGACCATAAGTGTGGAATATGGCAACTGCAAAGGTGATTCACGATAAAATAGATTCATCCACAAGACTCCATTTGCGACAGCTCCATTCGAGTTGGCACCTGATGTCGCACATAAGGCCCACGGTCATTTGAGGGGGTAGATGCTTGAACAGACAGTCCAATAGAGCGAGCAAGTAATGTTGTTTCTCCCTGCCGATGTAAGGTTCACGATCCAGAGCACATGGTTGTGTCTACAAAGCAGCACCAGAAGGCCTGTGTTGGTAAAAAAAAAACGAGTGCTTGCCTTCTCCTGTTTCTCGTCTGCAGCCATGAAAGATTCTCCGCATTCATCCAGGACTGATACTGGCACACTCATCCCCTTTTCATAGTGATCCTCTTCTGGTTCCATCCTCACATAATGCAGTGACTTATCTCCCTACTTACTGGACAGCCCATGTTGACATTTGTCCATAATAGTCGGGCCAACCCACCATGGGCCCACATTGCTATGTACCTCTTACACAAGGGATGGGCCCACATGTGAGTTTATCACTGAATATGCTGAGTGGGCCAGGGGGTAGACAAAATCCCAGGCTCAGGAGTGGGCCTACTGCATATACTGTGGAATACAATAATACATAGGATAGTACTGTTATGGTGTATAGGCTATAACTGTTATATGTTGCTCAAGGGCAACGGGTGGGCCCTGTATGAACTTGCCGATGCTGATCTCCGACATCGCCGACACCTTAGCATATCTCTGGCATTGCCGACATCGTATATACCTATTGCAATATGGGCAATCAAATCAACCACACCATGGCATATCCATGTAGTATAGCCATACATCCCAAACCATCGGGATGGGACGATGGCTGAGTGTCAAATCTCCCAAGTATTTATCAGCCATACTGGGATCACCGACACCACATTCAAGGTGGCAAAGCTCTGCACCTCCTTGTGTACAGGCCTGGCAATTATTGAGTAGTTGGGGGAATATTTGTTACATATGCAATTAAAGCTTAGTGCCTCAAGTCCTGTGTACAGCGTCGCTGACTATTGACTCATACCTCGAGTAGTCAGCTCGGGGCATATCTATAAACTCATGCACATCATCCCTCATGTACCACACCCAAGCTATTCAGTCACCATCCACCACATCTACCCCATGCCTGATTATCCTTCCTGAACCAACAGCCATGGCACCCGAAACATACACAATTTCAATGCCTATATTAGGCATCTTCATCCTTGCTCCTCCATAATTGCCGACGCTGGTCATGACGTCGAACCACTGGGAACGAGACAGAGGATCATGGTGGAAGGGTGAACGCCGGTTGCACATAATGGAGAGAGCTGTAAACACGGATGCCCACTCTCTGAGGCGATCACCCATTTCATCCAATTTCTTGTCGGCTGCCCAGAGACCAAGGCCCAGCTGTATTACCAATGATGACCAATAGAGGTTAGGGTGCATAACTCTCAAGGCCGCAGCAATGAGCACCGCCAGTCTTTGTATTGCCTGACAGAAAGACCTTCCATCATCCCCTTTAAGAGTCGCCAACACTTCCGGATGAAACTTGGGAGCCTGGGATGAATGAGCATGGACATGGCTAGCTGTTGGGATGCGAAGTCCGACTCACCGGATGGCCTTGCAAAAACCATGCTGGCGATAGATTAATACACCCAGGGGTAATGCTGTCTTGACTGGGGTGAAAATTAGATTCATGGGTCCGCCATTTACCATTGGTCTCTGTGCCACACGTGACACTTTTCGCCAGCATGACTGCCATCTTGGTGGTCGCCGCCGCCATGTCATTCTAACATTGTCAAAACAATCCCAGTCGGCGGTTGGGACAACTGAAGCGGAAGCGGAAGCGGAAGCGGAAGCGGAAGCGGAAGCGGAAGCGGAAGAAAGTAGCGCTGCCGGAAAATGTGCAAGAGGTTGATGCCAAGCCAGGTCGAGTCTCAGCAATGGAGAAGAGGAGATGGGACTCAAGTCCAAGTCAACCACCAGTGCCACACAGTGCACAACAGCCACCGTTGGCATCCCTTGCATTGACGGTATGTGCCTATGATTAGTTGATCACCTAACATTTATTTGGATTCACACTGAACAGTCGAAAATTTCAAAGAGGCACAAAGTTGCTCAGTTGCCACCAACACCCCCGGTGAATCTGCCAACAGAAGATATCAATGCTGTAAGTGCCCAGGTGTGGCATTCTAGACAAGCTGACACACTGCAGGACAATGATGGTGCGGAGCTGGTGCCGCGTTGTGACCAGTGCATGAAAGCGTATGTACCACTCAAACTACTGGTCAGATATTGCTGATATTTCATGGAATCAAGGATGTGATTTGTCGTCAAGGATATGGTTCTACTGGTGCCATCCTCAGAGCTTGCTGCCGGTGCTCAAGGCAAAAACTGAAATGCTCACATGCGAAGGCTGACACACTGCCAACGCCGAAGGGGAGGTCTCGCCGTACTCGCTCAACATCACGCCGACATTCTCCTGCTGAAGGTAATACTGTTACCTTTTGTTGTACATGATGCTGACTATTCTAGATATGCTTGTTGAAAGCGATACTGATGCCAGAGCTATACCAACATCGCTGTTGCATTCCGTGCCGCCAATCGCAACTTTATCGCCTGAACCTGACTCGCCAAGTCCTGCCAAGCCATCTTCATCCCCTGTACTAGATCCTCCCAGGCAATCTCCTGCTCCCACTACACAGGAGTCAATGGATGTTTCTGGAGATGCAATCGTAGGCGAATTGCGTGTGATGACATTGGAGGTTCGCAATGACTCTGCCACATTGTCCGCTAGGAAGTCTGACCTCCAGAAGGTTACTGATGGTCTTTGGGCTGAAGTTGACAGACTACAGGCGCGCCACATAGTTACCCGGGAGGTGGTGATGACATTGCAACAGCGCATCGCCGCCCAAGATGCTGAAATCCATGCATTACAAGGTCTCCACACTGAGCTCGCCACACTTTAAAAAGACATCAAAGCTTTGCAGGTGGAGTCGGCGACTCGTGATTGGGACCTGAAGAATGCTCAGGAGCAATTGACTTGACAGGAGCGCACCACCAGTGTTCTTCAAGACGCCTACAATTCTCTTCACCATCGTGTGCTCAGTTCCAACCAGTCAGTGTCTCCCCCTTTTCCAATGCAGTGTATCTTGCCACTCCAGTAAGCACTGGCCACCTGCCTGTTAGTGTGGGCCAGATGCAAGCCATGGAGGGCTTGTACTTCAATTTCGTGGGTCAACCATCCGGAGGAAATGTCGCCAGCGGTGCTGGTCTTAGTGGTCCATTCCATCGTCCCTCTCCTGGTCTCTCTGTTTGTAACACCGCCGGTAGTTCTGGTGATGCCTTCGGTGAGTCGGCATCCGGAACGGGCCCCAGGACCTAGTTTACTTTGTCTTTACACTACATTTCTTAGTTGAGGTTTCGGCAATGCCGATTGACAGTTGCTGCAGGTTATGTTTGGTATCAATAGTCAATGGTGATATTTGATTTGCTTTCCTCCATGGTCCAGTACATGGTGTTGGATCTAAGGCGACATCAAGTGCATGGTATAGACGTATAGATAATAAGTTGGCTTTGATAGCTAGGGTACCTGTGGTAATATTTTGCCAATGGAGTACCTGAGATGGTTATTGGTGACACGTGCTTTGATGGAGGTGCCCAGGATTGTAGTTTGGAATTGCATGGATATGATGCTGCAGGGTATAAATCTTCACCAGTGATATCTTGTCCTTTGATGATGGTGGTCCCTGCTGGGGTATTTTGGAAATAAAGGCATCTGATGCTGGATGGTACAGAAGGTCACTGCCGAGATCGTGCTTCAGTGGCGGCGGTTCCTGTCATGGTAGGAAATAGGGTATAGATGATTACAGGCAAGATCTTGGGCTTTGATGGTGGCAGTGTCTATGATTGCATTCTGGAAATGTAGGTCTATGATGCTGCAGGGTATAGATGGTCACCGCCGATATGTTGCACTTCAGTGGCGGTGGTTCCTGTGCCTCCCATATATGGTATAGATTGTCACCAGTGACATCTTGTGCTTTGATGGCAGCAGATTCTACCATATATGATGCTGCAGGGTATAGATTGTCACCTGCAACATCTTGTGCTTTGATGGTGGTGGTTCCTACCATATATGATGCTGCAGGGTATAGATTGTCACCAGTGACATCATTATGCAAATGATGCTACAGGGTATAGATAGTTACTGGTGACATCTTGTTCTGTGGTGGTTCCTACCATGGGATTGTGTATATGATGCTGCAGGGTATAGATTGTCGCCGGCGACGTCGTTCGTTGATGGCAGCAATGCATACTCATGATGGTTAGGTAAGTAGTATAGAACCATGCAGGTGGGAAGTTGATTCATAGGTGACACACATATCATACCAATTGCAGTACATACATTTGGGAGTAACACATTATTACAAGTCACTTCCAACTCCGTTTGGCCTTTTGAGCCTTGGCGACTGCTGCCTTGCTCCTTGTTCTCTTAGCTGGCATGTCACTCACAAGATCAGCGGTGTCGCATTTTAGCGGCTTTGTTGGTGGATCATTTACCACATTGGAACCCACCAAACTCTTGCTTCAGGTATTTGTACCCGCTGATTTCGGCGCTGCCTGCGGTGTCTTCAGAGCAACTGCCAATTTCCTGATCATGTTTGACCTGGCAGGCTGTATCGCCTCATTAGATGTGTTGGTCGAATGGCATCCTCTCATAGTTACTGTTGGAGGTGATGGTTCTTCTCTGTCATTGGAGACAATTGATGCTCTCTCCTCATCATCGTTGGTAGATTTACGATCCTCCTCCTCCACCTGTCCCCCATCAGTGCTTTGCTCATCATTGTATTGGTGTCCTGTGTCACGTCTGGCCTTTCGAGCACCATGGTCTTTGGCATGCTGAGTAGCTCGCCACAATGTTTTCAGGAATGACTTTGCCGGCATCTCCATGTCACCATCACTGTCTTTCCATGCTTTGAAACAGAAGGTGGGACGAAGCTTCTTTTCCTGTTGGTGATGCCAGAAATCCAATAGAGTAGTGACATCTGCTTTGTCCATCTTTGATGGCTCCACCAACTGTACATTGGCAAGCCAGTAAGTGCTGTCAAAAAAGTTGGACTGGTTCTTAACCAAATCGCCCCAGGGCACCACAGTCTTGACTTGGTGTGATCCCATGCATATCCCTGTTGAAATTAAGATTTGTTGATATTGTGAAGGAGACTCAATACTGACTGTAATGCCTGGCAAGGAAAGATCAAATGACATGCTGTTGATCCCCCTGTTTCCAGCTCATGGTATCAGGGAGCATTGGCCACCCATCATTGTCTTCCTCTAGTTCAAGGAGCTTTCATGGCACTTGTTTCTTGGAGGTCACAATCTGAGGAACATCTTGATCCTGGACATCTGAATATTCATTGAGTATGATGCCAATAAATTCTGTTAACTGGGCGTCTCACCAAATTGATCTCCTACATATTGCTGCTATTCAGGCATGAAGATCCCATCCCAATCTCTGGTCTTCAAAAAGCTTTCGCCACCACCAAACTGTTCATTGAAGTCATGTCTCCAGCGATCTTGAGATCTGGCGGAACACTCCAAGAGTGGAAACAAGACTCACGCTCCTAACATTAGTTTCCCTCTGCTGTCCTGCCATGCTGACATCACAAAGACCCTCATTCCAGCTTACTTGAACATCTTGGTGGCGAAATGCTCTATCATGTCAGCTCCTTTGCTTTCAGCTACACTGGCCTGGATTTCAGGTGGAGCAGCTTCATTGTTCCACTTGTCTGCAACCACTTTTGCCTCTTCCTTCTCCTCTGCCGACAGACCTGCTAGAACAGTCTTTGTAGCCTCCGGCCACTTGACAATCATCCCCTCACTCCCAGGAGTCTCTCCAGTCTCCTCTCGGATTCGGGCCTTGTTCTGCTCAACCAACACTTGGTGACCTGTCCATTTCTTGCCATACTTGATGAGAGGCTTTGGAGCTTTCCGGCAAGATTGGTTGTACAACCACTCCTTGTAAGTCTGTTGTCACAAAATCAATAGCTGGAGGATGCACATATTTACACTGGTACATGCCTTTTTCCTAGCTTTCAATATGACTTTATCCCGGGTGGGAGCTTGGAGGCAGGCTTCCTTGTGTATGGCATTCAAGACATGCAGCTGTTGTTTACCTTTGGCAGTCCTCCAGATGGGCCTTGAGGACTGTTATTTCAGCCTTGATCAAGGGAAGCTTGGTCTGCTGGGGAACAATGATAGGGGATTCACTCCGGGCCATTTTGTGATATGGTTGATGGTAATTGGAATGGTTGGACAGTTGCAAATGGTCGGTACCGATAACCCTTACTCGGATTCCTTGGTTCATATTATCATGTACGTATTGCTACACAATCAGTGTGTATGCAAAGCACCAGCTGGATATTACTTGCCCCTCTTGTGCAGAAATGGCTATAGGTCATACATGCATGACCAACTCTGATATGAGATTTAGCATGACATATCCCTGATGAGATGGTCCCTACTTTTCAAAGACTAATCAAACCCTAATTACTGGTATTTCATGGTTCACATTGCTTAAGTGGATCAGCATGAGTCATGTATGCAAAGCATCAGTCTGCTAGGTATTTCTTGCTGCTTCAATGGATACATGGCTGTATGATATACATACATAACTAACACTAATATCAGCATGACATCTCCCTGATGAAACAAACCCGTTGAAAGACTAATCAAAGCCTAATTGCTGCACCATGTTTAGTTACATCATGTGCAACTCAATACTGATTCTGAGTATAAATTACATCGGAGTTTCTGCTGGCCTAGTACTGAGGGAAACCAGGCTCCCCCTAACATCAATCATCACACACCATTAACTTCAGCACATGGGAGGCTCTAAAGTGCAGGAGTGGACACCTACCATAAATATTTCCGTGGTGGAATGGAAGAAAAGCTTTCGGAGCAGGAAAGTGACAGGGAAATGGGTGGAGAGACCCAAGATCCGGAAAATTCAATCAGTTCCAGCCACCCCTACTAAGTCATCATCAAAGCAGCCATCCCAGAATATGCTATATAATGGTGGGGATGAATTTCTTGGAGACCTGCACTGACCACAGGTGTCTTTCCACATTTGGTGCCGGTGAGAGCATCCATCCATCCATCCATGGTCTGATATTGACTAGTTGGCAGGACCGTTACTGAGAGTTAATGAGGGTGGCCAGGCAATGGCGCCAACTGAAGCTGCTGAAATGGAACGGCTTCGGCCATGAGACAAAGAGCATCAAACCCAGTGATCTTGCTCTCTTCTGTGCAGCTTATCCTCAGCCAGGCATTAATGTGACATTGCTGACTGAAGGTGACTATGAGGAGACGAACAACAAATCAGATCTGGAGACACCCAGTTGGCTCCATTCAAGATCACTAGTCATGGATGGCAACTTCAAAGTTGAGCATCTGCATGCCGCAAATCCCATTGACGAAGTCTCCCTGATGGATGGCCGCAGTTTCATGGTCGGTAATAGCATGGATAAGGCACATCTTGCAAAGGCAAAAGACACTGTTCACTGATCTGAGTGTAATAACCACCGTGCTGTAAATCAAGCCAACGCATCTCGCCACCGACTGGAAGCAATGTGCATCGGGGGTTGTGCCTGTGCAAGACATGGCTGCTTTGTCCCTCATGCAATGGTGGACTTTCAGAAGGGAGAAAGGTTTGGATTTAATATTCCTCCGATGTGCTTTCATAGCCTCACAGACAGCCACCAGACAGATGAATATGGACTACACTTTGTATGAGGGATTGAAACACAATGCCGATGGCATTCAGCATGCATTGACATGTTATGATGTTAACTGCCAGTATCACAAACATCTGAAGGACCGTGTAGCTGACAATCCTTTCTTGGACATATGGCCAGAGTTGGAGATAATCCCAGGGATTGGTTTGTGGCATGTTCATGACCATCAAGACAGCTGCTATGTTCGTTACACTTCGAAATTTATCAACGGCGCTGCAAGGATTGATGGCGAGATCATGGAGACCCTATGGGCGCCGTTGAATGTGATCTCTCCGTCGGCATGTGGCATGGGGACACCCCACTGGAAGGAGTGTTTGGATTATCAAATGAACGATTGCAATTTCATGAAAATGATCAGAATGAGTTGGTTGTTCAACCTCAATTTTCACTGAAATCACTCACTAGGACTATGAATGCAAGGCCCTTTGCCCTTGTGAAAAACACAACCTGACTAGGCACTTGTTAAGGTACTCAGCCAGTATATGTCTAATGCTCTGCCTATGCTGCTATACTTGCAACAGAGATGCAAGAATGTTTGACCTGAGGGAAAAGCTACTAAGAACAACTTAAAATCAAAAGACCCGAAAGAGTGCTAATGCGCGGGAAAGAGCGGAAGTCAAGAAAGCAGACACTGAGTCAAAGGAAGGTAATGGATAGTGAGCGAGATCAAGGGTATTGATTGCAAGGGTAAGGAAAGTCAAATAGGGGCCAGAGAGCGCAACTAAAGGCTGACTACTTCTGAGTAAAACCTAAGGGAAAGGAAATACAGTCGAAGGGAAGTAATGTCAAAGTAGTCACCATAGGCTTCTTATACTAGTAAACTATACCATCTCGGACTTGGAAGGGATAGGATATACATGTAATAAGACTGTAGCACTTGTTACACTCGAGGCAAGGCAAATTACATACCAATGAGGTAGGATGGACCATGGATGGATTCCGACATTTCGGGTGGATCCTAGGGCGCGAGAACAGCGCGCTGGATAAGCGCTAAGCATGGGAACAAGCACTAGATAGTGCGGACATGTGCTAATGGACCTAGTGTTTTAAAGTCCAGTTGCTGGACTGAAAAAAGACTGGCAACTGGACCAAAACTGGACTTTAAAAGACTGGACTTCAGTTGCGGTTGCCTGGATTCAGAAAAAGTCCAGTTGCAGGTTGCCTACCTTTATGAAAATTTGAAAACCGATAAAAACCGGTTGCAACCGGTATTAGGGTTAGGGTTATGATTGTAGGGTTATAGTAGTCAATCAGGCGATTCCAATGGTGGTTTGGTCATGTCAAACGGTTAAGATCTGAAAAAGATATGAGCATTACAAGAAAGGCTTGCAAAATTGAAGGATGTTGGCATAAAAATTAAAGATTGGCTTATAACTTGCCCAAACCTTAACCCTCAAATATACTTAACCCAGTACTTGTTCTTCCATAACACATTGACTTGCAGTCAGATGTATTTAGTTTACTGAATGTTTGACAAGATATGACTAGCAATAGAGTCATTTAGACTAGGACTACAATTGGTGTTGGGATACCTAAGCCTTATAATGACTTTCATATTTTTCATATTTCAGATACAAGCCTGATAATGATTTTGTTAAGCTTATACCTTGCTTATGTGTGAACCTATTGAAAAGATAAGACCAGTCCTAGACTCGTCTAGACTTGAAGCACAACTTTGTTAAGCCACTTAAGCAATCACAACACATTTCATATTTGCCTCATGCTCTAGGGCGGTGTATTCTTAAAATGCTCATATCTCTCTCAAATCTTAACCGTTTTACATGATCGGACCACCGTTGGAAAGGTCTTGAACGGTCCTCACGAACCGGTCACCGGACTGCAAAAGACCAAAATATCGGTCTTTATCAGTCCTGGTCCAGTCTTTTTGATATCGTGGGAATCAGGCAACCGGTCCTGGTCCGGTTGCTTCCAAATAAGGCAAAAGACCGGACTTAACCGGACTTTTAAACTCTAAATGGACCTAAAACACATTGCTGGTAGTTCTGACAGTGCTATAAGCGCAGGAATAGCGTCGGATAAGTCGCGGGAGTGTGAATAGCGCTGCGGGAATGTGCGCACATAGTGCGGGAAAGTGTGGAATAGCGTCAGACAAGGGTTATGGCTGAGACAAGTGAAGACTGCTGATAGGGGAGTAGTGAATGATATGAGGGATAACTTTGGTCCACCTATTGAAGGCTTATGCGGGTATACATGCCTAGCACCAATATGATTGTCACACCGTAAATTCAGGCAAGCGGTGAAAGGGGTTGCCGACAGCAAGGTGGCCTTTGAGAAGCTTGATCAAACTGCCGATGCAAATCAAGTCAGAGAATGGGAACAACAAGAGAAGCTTGCACAGCAACAGCGTACCACTGATCCAAAAGCCATGGACATTTATGAAGTACAACTGCAGAAAGGTGTGTAGGAAAAATCTAAGCCTCATCTAGGCTGATGGCAAGACAGCGCCGACAAGAAAGCAACAGGAACTACAGTTGCTGGAGGTGAGCGGTCAGTGCCCTGGTCCCACATGCTGCAGGGGAGCGGCGACATGGCTGGCAGACAGTTTGTCTATCGAGGAGGCACAGGTGATGCTCGAAATGGATGTTTGGAAGTTGAATAGGCACTCCACACAAAACCAGCGACTGGAGATTGGGCGCCATCGTGAGAGAATGCAAGGAGACATCGACTGTTGGGTGGAGTTGGCAGTGACGTTCATTGGCGATGCATTATGTGATGGTGACATCCAGGCGATGGAGGACGAGCTGCTGATACTTGAAGAAGATTCTGATGATGACACGGCTGATCAATTCACGTTATTTGAGCCTGAAAAGGTGGTCATCCCAATGCCATCTAATCTGGGCGCCGGCAGGTGTGCTAAACTTGGCGCCGAAGATTTGATTCATCAAGAACTTGTGTTAAGGCAGGGACAAGCCAATGATGCCCTGCACAACATCAGAGTTCACTTGGCAGACAAGGCCGTCATTTTCCGCAAGACTGTCAGAACGGTGAAGTCACAAGCAATGTCCACTAGAGCTTGGGCTCTGGTTCATTCAGTGGATAGGACAGTAAGCATCCAAGCAAGCATCTATTCAAAGCGCCGGTCTCAACTCTGCAAACTTGGCACCGACAATAATTTGCTGGAGAGATATTGTCCATTAGCCAAGGAGCATCTCAAGGTTAGCACAGCTGTCGCCAATCCAAACGCCAGAGGCCAGAGAAACAATATTTTGGCTTGGTTCTGGTCCATGGACATGGCGGGAGACTCTGATGGGAGTGATTGGCTTAATGAATGTGAGATGTTCATGCTTTTGCGATTTCCCCGGCGCTCACTTCGCCGATGTAGAGACTCACATTTCTGCAGGCACATATGGGCACATTTTGCACCTTTTCACAACTCATGACAATTGGCCTTCAATGCACGACTCGCACCATCAGCTATATTCGACTTCTATCATGTCCCTAGTCGTTTTACACATAACGCGCAGCTTTCCCGCGAAACGCGCCATAGGCGCAGCACTTTCCCGCACAACGCGCAGCATTCCCACACACGCACCTTGCGCGCTTTCTCGCGCTTAAGCGCCCTGCATCGCCTATCATCCAGGAACGTCCGTCTATGTCCACCCACCTCATTGGTATGTCATATGCCTTGCCTCGTGGTTTGTAACAAGCATTGCAGCGTTATTACATGTCATTACGTATTCATAGCGCTTATTGCTCCTATCCCTTCCGCTTCTGATGCAATTTCCATAGTATAAAGTTTGCTGACTTACTACTCCATCATTATTACTCCCCTTTGCTGTACTTCCCTCGCTATTGGGTTTTACTTTAAAGTAGTAGTCACCACTTGGGCGCACTTTGTGTTTCCAATGGTTATTGTTATCCGCCTAGGCCTCGTTCGGTAACCGTTGTATAAACGAAATTTACAAAATACAAAATTTCGAAAGTCCCGGCACGTAAGCGGAGCTTGAACATGATCGGCAAGATCATCACTATCCTGATCAACGCCCAGTAGTAACTGTAGTTCGACGACTCGATCCTAAGTTCAATGTTACTAGTAATCAACAATTTATTAGTGTCATGGATGGGCCTGTTCAGCCCCTTCATCAGCCCCTCCTCGGTCCTTTGTTTCCTCACCCCTTGATTCCTTATCAACGTCTCCTCGCTGCTCAACGCATTCGGCCAACTCAGGGCCAGCATTTGGCGCAACTAACAGTTCGAGAGCGGATGTTTCGTTATATGGTACTTCTTATCAGCATTCTTGTTGCTGCCACCGCACAGGTGGTTCTACAGGCCACACAAATTCCCCAAGCCCCTGAGCCGTATCACACATCTGCACTATCAGGCCATGAATGGGTCATAGAACTTATTGTTGGTCATCTTGAACGCATCCACTGCGAGCTCGGGATGCATGTTCACGTGTTTGAGGCTCTGATCAACGAGCTCCGTTCCCTCAGTCACACAGATTCACGATATGTCTCGCTTGAAGAGCAGCTCGCCATATTCCTCTACTCCTGTGTTACAGGATTAACAATTCGCCATGTCGGCGAACACTTCCAGCGCTCGAACGACACTATTTCTCGGTATGGTTAGTTTATATTAGGAAAAACTATTAGTTCTGATGCCTTTGTAGGTATTTTCGCAAGATGCTCGACATATTCGCATCTCATCCATTTTATAATAAATACATATGCTTTCCTGCTGACAATGACCCCATCCCCACCAAAATACGCAACAATCCGAAACACTGGCCATATTTTAAGGATGCTATAGGAGCACTCGACGGTAGCCATATTCACACATTCCCTCTTTCAGCTGAGCGCCACGTCTATCGCAACCGCAAAGGATTTCTCTCCCAGAATTGCCTTTTTGCATGCGACTTTGACCTTATGTTCACGTATGCATTGACTGGGTGGGAAGGCTCTGCAACAGACGCGCGGCTTTGGGATCAAGCGCTTGAAGGTGGCTTGAAAATCCCCCCCGGTAAATACCTTCTTGCGGATGCAGGATTTCCGTCCTGTGAAGAGCTTTTGATTCCTTATCGTGGTGTTCGATACCACCTCGCTGAATGGGGTCGCGCCAGTGTGAGGTAGTTGTTTCACTCGTGTTTTTTTTGTTTCAATCAAGCCAATATTATATTTTCAGACCTGTCAATAAAGAAGAACTCTTCAATCTTCGTCACGCCTCAGCACAAAATGTCATTGAACGAATCTTCGGCGTCTTAAAACGACGCTTTCGCATTCTCCTCTTATCCCCGGAATACAGGATCAATACTCAAGCTCGGATTCCTGCGGCGCTATGCGCCCTACATAATTTTATACAGGTTCATGACCCATTCGAAGATCCATTACCATCAATGAGTGTCGTGAATGACAATCCAAGCCATCAAGGAGATCCTCTAGCAGCTGAGAATGGACCGCATGCACAAGCTGCTAATGCACGCTGTGATCGCATCACGACACACATGTGGGAGGATTATGAGGCTTACTTACGCGAGCATGACTTAGAGGATGATGAAGATCTAGGTTCTGATCTTGACGAGGAAGATGAAGCCGAAGATGACCTTTATGATGGGCGCGAGTTTGACGAGACTGCTGTAGAATAGAATTGTTTTGTAGCTACAATTGAAAGTTTTATGCAAGGATCAAACGAGCACATGAAGCTACTTGTATAACGCAAAGAAGGGCTAGGGCTACAACTAGTAAGCCTACAAACAAAAAACGAGCGGGAAAAGTAGGAGCTACATGGTAGGGTTCTCTTGTTTGGCACGGGCGATCATAGATTCTAAAAATGCTTCATGCAGCTCAGGGTCATCAACATCTAAGAATGTATCACATGCTGCTGCGTTCGTCACGAACACATGCATGAGAATCACCTTATTGTCCTTCGAGATCCCTGTAGCCGACTGCATTAACTTCAGTGCGCGTGACCTATGTTCAGCTACATGAGCCTCGTCAGTGCCGAAGTTCGTGTTCAATGAATCTGACAGGCGGTTGATAGTGCCTTGAAGATTCATCAACACAGCTGTGTTGGCAGTGTCTTGAATGTTCTTCTTGCTTGTGCTTGGGCGCGTCTTACCACTGGCTGTTGACAGCCTTGGTTTCTTCTCCGATTCCGGCTTTGTCACCTGCGACACTGAAGTGTAGGTGGTGGAGGGAGGAGCTGAATGACCTTGGGTCATCTCGGAGTGTGAGCACCCCAGCCGAGGTTCGGCTGGGCCATGCTGGGCTTCATGGGAGTGAGATCAGGAATGAAAGGAGGCTGCTGGGCCATGCTGGTGTTGATGGGAAAGAGGTTCGGAATAAAAGGAGGCGGCCTCATGCTTTCAATATCCATCATGCTCATGTCAGCATCATGAGGTGCGCTGCTTGTGCTTGCAACCGGTTGCTCCACGGCCGGTGCAGCTGATTGGGCAGGGTTGTATGCAACCGTTCCTTGTGCAGCGCTCTTCTCGGGGAGGATTTGGTCCATCTTTGAATAGAAAGGCCAACCATTATTTTTGAATGGTTTCATGGGCGAGTTGGACTGTAAAGCATCAGTTTCAGTGAAGATCAAGGCGATATTGGCACATACCTTCTTGCCAACATATTCCTTCCACACAGCTTCAGCGGCGGGCCCATCGATGTTGGCCCCATGCTCATCATCCCAATGACAGCCTGACTTAGAGTGATATGTCCGGATGGCTTGGAAAGTAGTCTTTAACTACATAGATGTAATCAGTACAATGATGGCGGCAATCAATATGAAATAACATACCATCCCCCATTTACTCTTGCACTGCTCCCCAGTTTTGGGAGGCCCATGTGTCCGCTTGCTTGCGATCTCTATCGCAGCTTGATTGTATATCGTGTCTTTGAATGTTACCCCTGCCAGTGATGACTTCTCCATGATAAGATATGTGAGCATGGCATCAATCTCATCAAAACCCCACTGGGCCTTTGGCTGTTTAGGAGCCTTTCGCGTCATATTAGCTAGTTGTATCTGAGAGCAGATGATTATAGCAGCGACGGCAAGCCAAATGTGCTGGTGTTGGAGATCATCAGGACGAGACTTTGATGAAGTCATGGTCGGAAGCAAAGCAAATTGAATCTCAGCTTGCGGCTGGTATCATGCCGGGACTTTCGAAATTTTGTATTTTGTAAATCTCATTTATACAACAGTTACCGAATGAGGCCCTATACTAGACCTTTATCTGCGCTCGTTATAACACTCGCTCTGCGTTTGCACTCGCTTTGCACATCTGCTTCCTTATCCATTTCCTTATCCGGTATTTTCCGCACAACGCACGCCTTAGCGCTCACGTTCCCACGCTCGCGCTTACCTTAGTGCACTCACTTCGCTTTTCTTCTTGTGCTTTCGCGCATCCATTGCACTTCAAGGGTCTTTCTTTCATCTGGTTCTGTGTTCAGTAGCAGTCCCCTTTAGGGTCGAACATTCTTGCATTCTGCAAGTATAGCAGCTAGGCAGAGCCAAGACTCACTTATACTGGTTGAGCATTTTTAGATAATCCATAACAGCCCAGCCAGGTTGAGATCGCTTCACCGACACATTAGTTTACCGGGTGCATTGGCTCCGTGCCAAGGCTCTGAGAGACCGCTGGGAGGAAGAAATGTTACTTGTGCAGCATGAAATGAATTGGACATGCGACTTCTTTGTGCACAAAGGGATGACCACGCTGACACAACCTCGCTGGTATGGCTCCCAGGCTGTGGGTCTTGCGTGCAGAGGCAGCTGGTATGCCGCCAAGCCTACAATACCGCTGGTGTGGAGTTGGCCGTGTGTGCGCGATGCCAGTGGTCGAAACATAAGTGTGGAGGCAAGGGTTCTGCTCCACCCAACAGAGGCAAGAAGTCAATGGCAGCTGTGACTTGCCACACTCATTCAATATCTTGCCGTTGATCGCTGGTGCATGTCACCGAGACTGCAGGTAAGCCCTTCTCCATTTTTAACATTCAACAGATATACCAATGCTTCATCAGTAGCATCCACCTCTGGTGCGCCTGCAGGTGAGGTCGCTGAGGTGTCCAACACCTCCATCACTGCCACCACTGCTGCCACCATCACCTCTGCTCCCACCGCTGGTGCTCCCACCACTCCTGTTGTCCCTGCTGCCACTGCCGCCACCAATGCCACCGCCGCCACCAATGCCACCACCGCCACCACTGCCGCTGCTACCGCCCCCTCTTCTCCCACTTCCCACACAGACAAGGCATCCATTCTTGCCCTCAGGGAGGACATTACTCTGTTGCAAGCAACGGTTACTTCCTTGGAGGAGAAGGTGAGCGCTGGGGAGCAGCTTCTCCTGGAAGCCAATAGGAGAATGGCAGAGCAGGAGGCTAGTTCCAAATTGCTCACCGAGCAATTGGCGGCACTTCGCCGGGAGTTGTGTTCCCCCAAACTCACATCACCTGCTTCACCGTGTTTGCCTGTGATGATGAACCCTGACTTAGCTGACTCGTCCTCTTGCAATAGCATGGTTGTTGCTGATACAGAGGTCCCTGCCCTGTCAGTGGCCTGCAATGGTGACATTGTTGTAGAGACAGAGGACCATGCTGTGTCAGTGGCTGAGGAAGTATGCCCTGATATGTCAATTTCTGAGGATGAATGCCCTCCTACGTTGGCGCCTCATGAAGAATGCCCTGCTATGTCGGTCCCTGAGGAAGAGCGCCCTGCTGCGTTGGCATCTTGCAACACCAGGATTGTTGCAGATGAATATGCTGAAGTTGAGTTGGTGTCCGTTGGATCAGCCACACAGGAGTGATATGATTTGAATACTCGTCTTCTTTCTCACTTTAGTTGCAATCTCATAGAGTACTTGTCCAAACATGTGTATATACAGGTATATCTACATCTTGATATGGTATTTACTTTGTACATATCATTGCAGTTTGTTTACAATCATGGAATTGAGTGTGCCGGTGACATGCAGTCTGGTGCCGGTAACATATTTACTTATGTACATATCACTGCTGTTTGTTTACAATGATGGAATCAATTGCATCGGTGACATGTAGTCTGGTGCCTGCTGAGATGGCATGCAGCACTGGTAAGTTTTGCTTCCTCCACAATTCAATGGTAGGATGCTTGATAGTGCCATTTGAATTACCATTCGCCGGTGAGATGGATTCTTGTGCCGGTGTTAGCAGAGTTGTTCAGAGGCGAGATGAATGCTCAAACTTCAATTCTTTGCCAGCATATTTTAATGGGTGAAATAGATCTTGCAATAGGGAGAATCACATGTACCGGTGATACTGTCAGTTTTCTATTCAATGTTGTCTGTATCTGCCCCTCCCAGCGATGCCGGCCAATCACCTGTCAGCATGTATGCTATTGCAATCTGCCGATCATAGTAATGACATCACACATCGGCGAGATTACCGTCGGCCATATCTAGACATGCATGCTGCATCGAATCGGATGATCAGTCACACCTTGCATATGAAATGCTGACTGTCCATGCCATGCAGCCAGGATGGCAGGTGTTGCCAACAATCAGAGTTGCATTCACCACAGTTAAATATATTTGTACTGCATGGGCCCATCCATGTGTCTACATTACATGACCAGAGCCCAACTAGCAATTGAACTGTCCATGGTTGGGCCCACCCCCTCTATTGATATGCCAGGACATGAGCCTGTCTGACCCTCAGCATAACATTGTAATTTAGGGCCTATCCATCTCTAGGCATGGCTGACGTTGGGCCCACCATATATATAATTCAGTTCACGCCTGTGGGCCCACCCCTATGGCACAATGTGCGCACTGTAGGCCCACCTGAATCTTAGAAAGGGTAACTGTGGGCCCGTCCCGGCGGTGTAATACAGGATAGGGGCCCACCTGTCCTGCAGAGTATTTGCTCAGAGATCCTATCCCATTTTAACAATGGCAATGAGCAGGCCTGCACATGGCGTGTGGGCCCATCCGCTGCAAATGTCAGATAGTGCCCCCCCCGCCCCCCTTTGAATCAAGTATGGTATGCAAATGGCGCTGATGCAAATTCAATCATCGCCGGTCAATCCCTAGATGCATCCATTTCTGAGACACTCACTGATGCTAATGCACTACTGCATACAATCATACCTTGTGGTTCCCTGAGCTTTCAATCTATCCAATTTCCCAGAATACACCTGCTGATGCTAATGGACCATCACCGGCAATCATTCCTGAAATCTATTTGACGACTTGATTTCCTGGAATACACTTGCCAATGGTAATTGATCATCGCCGGCAATCATCCCTGATATCCATTTGGGGGTCCAATATCGCTGCTAATCATTCCTAATATCCATTTGCCGACCCCATGCCCTGGCATAGACTCGCCGATGCTAATGGATCATCGCCGGAAATTATCCCTGGTATCCATTTGGTGGCTCATTTCTTAGGATACCCTCGCCGATGCCAATGGATCATTGCTGCTAATCATTCTTTATATCTATTCGCTGACCCCATGCCCTGGCATAAACTCGCCGATGCTAATGGATCATCGCCGGAAACTATCCCTGGTATCCATTTTGTTGGCCCATTTCCTAGGATACCCTCACTGATGCCAATGGATCATTGCTGCTAATCATTCCTTATATCCATTCGCCGACCCCATGACCTGGCATATGCTCGACAATGCTAATGGATCATCGCCAGAAATTATCCCTGGTATCCATTTTGGGGGCTCATTTCCTAGCTCGCCGATGCCAATGGACCATCACCGCCAATCATCCGTCATATCCATTCGCCAGCCCCATTTCCCGGCATACACTCACCAGTGCTAATGCATCATGGGCCCACTCGATACTGGTGAGGCATTACTACTATAGGCCCACCCTTCAATACTCTTCACTCTCAATCCTGACACTCATGGGCCCACTCCAAAACATAGGGGCCAATCCACTATGGGCCCAGCCCTAACTGTTGGGAACATAGCATTCGCCGGCCCACCCTGGAACATAGGATGACAATATAGTGTGGGCCCATGGTGGGTTGGCCCGACTCTCATGGAAGAATGTCAAGGTGGGCTGGCCCTCTCGATAGGGTCAAGTCACTGAAGGGACTCCCATCCTTGAGGCCTTTGCTTGACGTCTTTCTCCTCAACATCTTTCTCCTTGACAGTGCTGCATGAACTCCTCCATCACTTGCACACATTATTTGGTAGAAAAAAGGATGGTGTTGGGTTGGGAGGGTCATGACCGTTGGAACCACAAGGGTTGGTGGAGTGCTTTTGAGTCAAGCATGCATCTATGCAAATGATAATATCTGGCCTGAGTATGATCAATTGAGTATGTAGCACTATAGCTACATAAATGAACTTACATGAAACAAGAATCTCTCGCTTTTTGCGAATCATTTGCCCCGAAGCAAAGTGGGCAGTGTGAACGAAGGTATCCAGTAGGCTGTTCAACTGCCATGGGTTGCAAATGGATCTTGTCCTTCCAGGTGTTGGCAATAAGAATGGAGATGTGATCATGAGCTAAAATGTTCAACACCCAGTACCAGTAAAATGCATTGGCGAAGCGATGGTGCAGGCTATGCTAATACAAATTAAACATGCTATGGACATTGAGGATCAAATGCTAACCTTTGATGTCAATTTGTATCCCATTCCATCTAGAAACGTCTCCACTGCATCACACCACGCAGTATGGTTGGGGGACTGACAAATGAAAAGAAGGTGGACAAACTCTAGAACACGCAAGTCTACTGCGAGTGAGGGAGCAACAGGAGCACATGGGAACAGCCCACGATGAAGGAGCTGGAGAGGGGCAGGAAGACAGGGGCATGCAATGATATTAATTTCTGACAAGCCTGTAATGTACATTAGATTAGCTATCAGTGGAGAAAAGAAGCTAGACAACACACTGTCAAAGAACACATATGCAACCTTGATACTGCAGGTCCCACACCCAGAATGACAAGCTACAGCATCTCCGTAGGGCTGTTGTACAATGTTGATGTAGCATAGCATTGAGGTCTCCTGCATGTGCGATAGATAGGGCACTAGAAGAGATGTAATAACATCTTCTGACCATCTGCGCCACTGGCTGGTCTTTTTCTGCGAGCTGGTGAGATGACAGTGTGACAATCATATTGGCGCTCATGTATACCTGCATAAGCCTTCAATAGGTGGACCAAAGTTATCCCTCATATTATTCACTACTCCCCTATCAGCAGTCTTCACTTGTCTCAGCCATAACCCATGTCTGACACTATTCCAACTTTCCCACACTATGCACGCACATTCCCGCAGCGCTATTCATGCTCCCACGACTTATCCAACACTATTCCTGCGGTTATAGTGCTATCAGAACTACCAGCAATATGTCTATAGGAGCATTAGTGCATGTAACATCAGAATCCATCCATTGTCCATCCTACCTCATTGGTATGTAATTTGCCTTGCCTCGAGTTTGTAACAAGTGCTACAGTCTTATTACATGTATATCCTATTCCTTCCAAGTCCAAGATGGTATAGTTTACTAGTATAAGAAGCCTATGGTGACTACTTCGACATTACTTCCCTTCAACTGTATTTCCTTCCCCTTAGGTTTTACTTAGAAGCAGTCACCCTTTAGTTGCGCTCTATGGCCCCTATCTGACTTTCCTGATCCTTGCAATCAATACCTTTGATATCACTCGCTATCCATTACCCTCCTTTGACTCAGTGTCCGCTTTCTTGACTTCTGCTCTTTCCCGTGCATTAGCGCTCTATCTTGCGATGCGCTATTCCCGCACTTTAGCGCTCTTTCGGGTCTTTCTATCAACATTCTTGCATCTTTGTTGCAAGTATAGCAGCATAGGCAGAGCATTAGACATATACTGGCTAAGTACCTTTACAAGTGCCTAGTCAGGTTGTGTTTTTCACACCAGCTCAAACACTGCCAAACACCGCCAAACACCCCTCTACTCCCGCCCCCTGCCTGGGGGTCCCCTACTCCAGTGGGTATGATCACAATTCATACCGCTGGATCTCAAAGGAGACCAGTTTCCTATTGTCCAATCAATTCATAAAAGGACGCATCTATTGTTCCACAAATAGAGGTTTTCACACGTCACAAAGATCTGGGTTCTTTACCCATAATCTGAACCTAAATATAGAAGAGAAGCATCAGTCATGATGACTCACACCGAAAGATAAGGGGTCCAAGCTTCCTCATGGAAATGAACCAGGTACCGCAGCAGCGATAAAGAAGGGCTGATCAAATGTCGCCCCAAGAAGGGCTAATCTGATGGTGGCCATAATAGGTATCACCCTACTACCTCCATCAGGGCGTCCCGAAGGCAGCCTAGATCTTTATCCCGCAAGGGCCAAACCCTAACCCTAATGAAAGATATAAGGGGCCTTGCTTCTTACAGGGCAGAAGAACATCTTCCATTTCCCATGTCTCATCGGGTCCACCCAGGCTGGGCTTACCAATCAATCAGAAGACATGTTCCCATGGGAACATGTCATGTGAGGGTCATGTGATGAATAGGTTTTTGTGAAATATTATACAACTCCAGGAATTTCAAAAAAAATACCTAGAGGAGCTACTGAGTGCTGTGCCAGCAGCATGTAAGTAGTGATGAACAGGGATTCTGCAAGAGCAAAATCAGATCATTGTATAAATACAACTATAATAGTAGATGCGCCTTTCTTTTTAAAGAAATAAAAGTAATGTTGTATTGGTAATCATTGATCTGTGAATGAGATCAACTGTAAAACACAGGAGGCAAAAAACTTTATGTATCCTCGTCCACAAGGATATCAACAATTTCATCATTGAAAATGTGGAGTGTGTCAAAGAGTAACAACTTTTTCCATGTGTTGGTAAGATCAAACATATTAGCTGTTCATTTCCTAGAAACTAAGAATCTTCTATCACAAATCCCAGCTTTGACGACATCAAAGACTTGCTCAGTGAGAAAATTCAACATCCAGTCCTGAGGGATCGGCATTGGTAAAGGCCTAAGCCATTCTCCCAAGGGTTTATCAATGGATTGCCAAAACTCTCTCTGTCGTTCATATAACATGGACAGGTGAGAGCGCCAGTGGCTTGTGATAGTATCTCTGAGCTCTCGGACATTACAGAGGGTCCAGGCTGGATTAAATTCTGATTTCAGAACAAAACGTCTGTTTGGCCTACATTTCCACTGCTTAAGCGGTTATTCCAACGCTTTGTGTAATGTGTCTGAATCCAGTGTTCCAGAAGGTTGTTAGGGTATCCCCTGCGAATATACAAGAGTTTTATGTCATGTATGGACTCCACATATCCATTGAAAGTGGAGTTAAGAGTCGCCAACCTTGACATCTTCCCAATGAAGGTACCCTTTTTAATATCTTCAAGTCTGGCGGGGACGTCGCCATGTCTTGTTCATCCAAGCTTCACAGACAATAGTATTTGGGGGTAGTTCTTCCTGCATGGCAGATGCCGCTTCCAGAGTGGATGCTTTGTAACATCTGGGCTTAGGACGATGGACCACCATAGTGCAGCACTGTAAGAGTCAATATAACAGGTGCAACACCAATGATGCAAAGTCACTTGGAGGAACTCGTGAACAGAAGTCACCAATGACGCAAAGTCAGTTGGGGTGGGTGTGAGGCTCGATTATGGATAAAGATCAAGCATACAACCTGGCAGGCACATTCAATGAAAAGGGAGGGGGAAAAACTGAAGTAAAACAAGCAGAAGCGAATGATTCATGGGATAATTCAGTATTAGAATGGAAAAATACGCAGGGAGAAGGTTTGCATCGTCCCTTCAGGTCAGCCCGATCAGGCATCGACCACATGTCAGGGATGTTCTCGTCATCTTACTCGGCAAGGCAAATATGTGGGCAGAGTAAGATAATGGAAGGAAGTGGGTGATAGAGAAAGTAGATATAAGAATAGAAATAGAAGTAAGTCGCAATAAACTGCTCGAAAGGTTTGTTGGTGGCCGCAGAGAATATGAACACATATGTTGCATGCCTCCACAGAAAAGTCAAACAGAAGGCTGGAGAAACAAATACATGCACCATGTCACTAAAATGGGACTAGAGGGAACCACGGAAGCATCCAAATCACCATTACAGCTACTGAACATAAAACACAGTCACAGCACAAGCAACTTCCCACCATTTTGTATCTGTAAAGTTCTCTTGGATGAGCAGTGATGTAAGAAGGGGTGGCACATCATCCCAAGAGCATAGTAGTTGTCGGAAACTTTCAAGGTACAGAAAAACACCAGTAGGTATTATTCCACATCCTGTAATTGTCTATTGGAAACAGCTCCGACCACATGACAAGGCCAGCATCACCAGGGAAGATGGCATGCAGCAACTGTTCGTGACCAACCAGATCTTCTGCCCAGCATTCCTTGGCCAAGTAATGATCACGATCCCTCAATTCATAGTGGAATCCAAGCTCAAACAACTCCCAGGTAATCTTTTGAGCAAGGAGCTGGGGAGGGTGGGCAAGACTGGCAACTGGGACCTGTTCACCACAAAATTGTACCATTCCTTCTGGCGCAAATAAATCACTGTGAGTGTCCACCATATCATCTCCAAACAAATTCTTCATCATTCCCTTATGCTTCTCTGCCACAGTAAGAACCTTCTTTTCAGGACCTTTTCCTTTGGGCGCTGCAGCTTGTGATTGGGCAGAAATCCTGCTACTGAGGAAGTCACACCACAGTTGAGGGGATGGGTAATTGTGAGGAGGGTCATGATCAACTCACCCGATCCATAGTGGACGACAGGCAAGCCAAGTGGCTATGTATCCCTGAAGGCGCTCCAGCAGCTTGGGACAGAAAAGGAGACCTGGTTCAGGGAATCTGTATCTGTGGTCCATAACGTAGGGAGTGCGGACATGAGATGAATCCTTGATACATCTTTTGAGGGCATCATCCCAATGAAGCTTTGACAGTGGGAAGTAGGGGCTCTCATGATCTTTCCATTTGTCCCTAATAGATTCACCTGACTGGACATGGTGCGTGGGCCGAGCATCTTTGGCATCTGATATTTAGTAGTGAGTTTTGGTACATACTAAGAAAGAGGGGTGAGGGGTACTTACAGGGCTGGTGCCTGTGCTTCCTGTTATGATGTTTTGGAAGGGCCTTGCCTCCAGCGGATGGTTGAGAGGATGGCCCAGCAGTAGAAGAACTGGGTGCAGATAAGCTGCCTGATGAAGGACCTGGCTCAGGGTCTCTGAATGTCATGCCCCCATAGAGGTGGTGAACATGAAGCTGACAATTGTAGCCACCTGGGCCACGATAGATGATTTTGTAAGGTCAAATTTTGTTACCCTCTGCATACATTGAAAGAATTATTTGATTGGGACGGGTGAGTAAAATGGGCTGTTTTACCGTCATGTTTGAAGGTATGTACACCATGGAGCAGACATACCACACAGGGATACCAGCAATGTACAGCTTGTTGCACATGTCACTGTCGAGTGTGAAGGTGCCCATCCACTCCCTGTTGATGATGGAAGTCCTGTCACTAGCAGTGTTACGAGGCTGAGCAAGGAGGATCCACTCCATGAATGAATAAATCTCGAGAAACAGTTGTTGGACATCAGTCACAAAGATGAGAAGGTCATGGAATGTAAGAGGATGTGTCTTCAACCATGAGATGCCATGTCAAAGGGACAAGACACAACTGACTACAGCATCATTCTTGCCTGGCCAATTAACTCTCCAATCCTGCACACACTTCTCTGCCAATTTGTGAAGAGATTCCAAGCCTTCGACCTTATCTGGTGCAAGCGTGCCTACAGGGAACGAGTTGCCTGGGATCGGCTTGAAATATTCTTGGGTGGGGGTGAACCAAGCCCAATGTAGCGGATGCGGGGATGGGAATGCCTCCTTTCGAGGAATGCAAGTTGAGTTGAAAAAAATGTTATCATAAGCTTGAGGCCACTGAAAGCAGTCTATGGCGCCGCAATAATAAAGAGTACTTACCAAAAAGGAAGACGTATTCAAGGACTCTAATCTGTGAAACACAAGATTGGTAGATGGTGGAGCAGATTAATGTATGCAAGCCTTACCGATTGGATGAACGAGTAAAAACAGTGAGATTGTGTAGAGCAACACCAATAATCTGAGACAGGAGTGATGGTAGTGGCACACCAAAGAGGGTCTTCAACCCTACTGGTGCAGCAATGAATGAGCAACCAGGGCAACCTTCAAGACGCGAAGTCTAGGAGTGGATGATCAGCGACGTCAAGTCAACTGAACAAAAATTGAATGGCACAAAGCCAGTTCAAGCCAAGAAAGGACCAGGCGCAGAAGAGCACAACAACAAGGAAAGGAGATGTCGAGGGAATTGCAATAATGGTAGATAGCAAGGCCTGACTACCTGAGTGAGTAAAGAGTTAGGAATAAAGACATACAAAGAATTATTGAGGCAAAATCAATTGTTCTGGGAAAGTCCCAGCAGAGCCAAGGCGTTTGACAACGATGACAACGGCGAGCAGGACTATAATGATGAACAGGACACCAAGAAGGGAAGGCTGCTGTTATAAGAACATCAGGTCATGTTAGGCCCCTATTCATTTCTTCTTCCCTTTGCCTTCTTTTGTACTTACTATGTCATTTCACTTCGAACACACAGCTCTTCTGGATTGCTGTGCATGTTTTACAGTTACCATTGCTTTGTTCCTCTGACTCACAACCCTATGCCCTTACCGCCTGACCGGTACTTATCTCTGACTCACCTTTCCCTTTACCCTTACTGTCCAACTGGTATTATCTTACATATGACTCACTCTGACTTGTTCTTCATTGCCCTTACCATTAATTTGGTAGTCCTGCCCTCAACCACTTCCTACCTATATATACCAGTAGGGTACCGCTTGTATTCTCTAACTTGAATCTACTTGGTTCTACCTGCCTATCTGCTAGAAGCCTTAAGCAAACTTTGATTTCTCATCTTAATCTCTATTGAGCATGTTGCTCAATAACCTTGCTAGTTGAGGAAATACGATTAGAGACATGCTGTCCTAATTGTCGATAATACCTTTGTCTAACCAACGAAGCTATTGCTGTGAACTCTTGCTATCGAACACCTGCTGGTCTCAGTAGGCTTAGCAAGAACCCCTATCCAAGTTCCAGTTGCAAACTTGCATCATTCGTAACAGCTGCCATTGGAAGCAGTCTTAAAGGCACAGGAAGTTGGGCAAACTACCGTCGAAGCAGCAAAAGTGTTAGGGGTCAGAATATGGCAAAAGGGCAAGGCTGATTCTAATTGAGGCAGGGCTGGCCATAAAGGCAACCCGCAAGGAGTCTCCTTGGAATCAGCACCAAATGTGGTTCAAGACTATTTGCCCCCCCTCTCAAGAACATATGTATATTCCTTTGTGGTTGTGTGTGGTCTGCTTACATCCTTTGCAGAGGATACCAAAGCTTGGAAGGAGGAGCAAGCAGCACACTACAAGGCCCATCTGTACAAGGACCCCAAGCATGCAGCATTGTGGCAGAAGATTCAGGAGTATTGGGATGGTTACCCTTACTGGTGCAAATGAGGACCTAATGTCGTAATCTGCTAGTTCTCTGATGCTGCGCATTCGTGATGATTTCTCAAAAGTGGTGAGTCTCGCATTCATAGGACATTGATCAAGAGACTAAGTAGTACAGTCTGGTTACTGGTACTGCACCCATGGCATTCATATTGCTGATGTTGCAATATTCCCTGATCATGAGGGTGCTGGCCGCCAAGTGTTATGTCACAGAATGCAACATCAGGCTGCCATCTTTCTGTGATTTTCTGTGCATGATTAGTTCCAGCTTGAATTAGCTCAGCACAAGACTAACCTCAGGATCATACATGTGCCACTGCCAAATTTGCGTCATATCAATGAGGGTGCGGACTTGTTGATGATTTCTTGCAGGTGTGTTCATCTTCATGAACATAGACATGGTACATTCTTCTAGTATGGAAGATGGCTTGATCGAGTAGAGCTTTTGGGCTATGTACTGGAGGCAGAAGACAAATTAATGATTGTCTGCATACTATGAGGAGCAATTCACTGCAAGCACAGACCCTTCCAAAAATTTCGTTAAATGAATCCAGTATGAGAGCATGTTCTGCCCTTCCTCCAAAGGTGTATCGAAAGGATACTATCCTTTCACATAGCACTCAAATTGACGGATGAATGATTCCCGGACAAATGTCCCTGTTTTACCCTTGAGGACTGGATTATACTGAGACTTGAATTCAGCTTCAAGCATGGCTTTGAGGTACTTGGTAACACCTTGATAGGTAGGTGACTTGAGGACATCTTTGTCTGATGCTGAACCTAACTCAGAGATTCGACAGAGCTTGATTTTCACATACTACAGTGACCTATCTCTGTATTATACGAGTGAACTGACGTACATAATATCGCGTATAAGACAGGCCAGTGGACCATGGGCTGATGGTAGAAATATCCTCAACTATGACAGATGGGCCGGGAGGGATATTATGTATTTCCAATAGAGGCTGGTGGGCCCATGTGGGGAATATGTAGAGTAGATGAGTGGGCCAATGGACATGAATATTCTATAGACGGATGGGCCAAAGTAGTCAGATATTATGTAGATAGGTGTACCGAGGTAGATGTGTATCAGATAGACAGGTATGCTAAGGGTACTTATTATTATATATATGGGTGGGCCTAGATGTATATTATATTAGACAGGTGGGCCGATGGTGGTATATAATATAGATGGGTGGGCCTGTCATATACCATATTCTGGACCTACGTCTGATGATATTCCCACACCTTCTGGATGCACATCTGGACCTCCATACCCTCATCCATACCTCCATACTCCTAGTCCATGCCTCTAGACATCCAGTCCACTATCAGTTCGGATCCATACACCATCATACATCCACATATCCTTCTCCATACATTCAGACATCCATATCCTTATCCATGACTTCAGTCATCCAGTTCACTATTGGTTCATATCCATACACCCTTGCACATCCAATATCCTCACTCCTCTGCTCATCTGATATCCATATGCCTCATCCAATATCCAGACCTCCGGATTCAACCTGAAGGATTCCCTAGGCCAGACTTCCAAACCTTCAGATTTGTCCTTCCATCTCTATCCAAGCTTAAGGATTAATTCCTTAAGCCGGACCTTTGCCTTTCTGGCACTTCCTGTCTTTCCAAGACTTATGTCTAGTTCCTGTTATCTCTGACTCTACCTCAGTGTAGCCTACCTCTGTTTGCTTCTACTCCAGACCTTGTCCGTGGTAGTCATTATTCTCCTGTCCTATAATCCTGTCCACTCCTCCTGACCTCCGGACCTTTGGATCTCCAGACCTTTGGATCTCTGGACATCTTACCCTTCAGATATCATAACCTTTGGATATTGTAACCTTTGGACATTATGACCTTCAGACATTATAACCTTTGGATGTCTTAACCTTTGGACATCTGAATCTTCAGATGTCGCAACCTTCAGACGACCTGTCCTCTGGACCACTCCTCCTATCTGATCCTGCTTTGGACTCTATCCCTTGCAGTCTCTCCTCCATGTGTTTCCATCTAGGCTTACCTTCAGAAAGCTTATCTTCGGACCCTATGCAGTGGGTGAAACTCCTCCAGAGTTTCCTGTACTTCTCTAGAAGTTCCTATACTCCTCCAGAAGTTTCCTGTACTCATCGGGAAGTTCTCCAGCACTCCACCAGAGTAGCCAGGCTCCGGAAGTCCTTCGGACTTCATTGGATTTCATCTGGACTTCATTCTGAAATTAAGGGGATGTACTCAGGAAATGCACAAGCTGAGGCCAAGCCCTTCAGATCCTGTCCCCCTTGAGCTATGGTCTTGACAGGGCCCAGGTGAATGATAATTGTAGACATGACAGAGCTGAGGTAGTTGTATATCATCCAAATCAAAGGAGATAATAATTCAAAGTCATCTAATGATGAAGGTCATCAGTACCAGAAAATCAAGCACCCAGTACAGACACGAACATGTAGTACCGACTACCGAGTAGTTAATACACACTGCAGCAGCAGGTGCTCTCTTGACATGGACTTTAACGGCACTCGAGTTGTCTTGCAGAATGTGAAAAATGGTGTGCAAAGCTTGTGTTGCCCTATGAGACACCAAGTTCCAACTACCGAAATTCAAGTGAAGCACACCGAGTTCTGAGACCTGTGTCTAAGGCTCCCTTATCTGATCCTTGCTGTCTCCACCTACCAAATGCCAAATGCCAAGTTCCAACTACCGAAATTCAAATGAAGTGTACCAAGTTCTGAGACCCAGGTCTCAACAAATGAGTATCTGATATCTAGCACACTTCCAATCATGTGGTATTTCATTGAGCAATGGATGATAATACATCTTTGAAAGCTAACATCATCCAAGGCTCCCTTATCTGATCATTACTATCTCCATCCCCTTTAACACCAAAGTTTGGATATCTGGCAGTCAGCATCTGATCAACTCCATCATGAATGTTTCTTCCACTTCCAATATTGAAATAACCCTCTGGTGCACTTGGGCCCTGACTGTCACTCATGAGGCATGTGAATATACTGAATAGAAATTCAATGCAGAGAAGACAGGAGGAGACCCAGTCACATACTACAGTGACAAAACTCTGTCTTAAATGGGTCAGGGGACCATGGGCCAATGTAATCATATCCTCATTGAAGATGAGTAGGCTGAGAGGCATATTATTCCCGATGGAGATAAGTGGGCCCATTTAGGTAATATCTATAGTAGAATAAAGTAGATTAGTGGGCCAAGGTAGATGTGTGTCATATAGATGGGTGGGCCGAGGTGGATCAATGTCATATAGATGGGGGGGCCAAGGTGGATCTATGTCATATGGACCAATGGGCTGAGGTGGATATATGTTCATATAGATGGGTGGGCCAAAGTAGTGCTATATCATATAGACGGATGGGCCAAGGTAGATGTATAATATATAGATGGGTGGGCTGAGGTAGTGGAATATCATATAGACAAGTGAGCTGAGGTAAGGGGTCTATCAGAATTTAGATCATCTCAAATGGATAGGATGTGAGTGAGATATGAGCAAATACTATACACCAGGTGAATTTCAACACCAGAAGTTCAATGCTTTCGATGTTTTTAATGTCGGGCCTCAATGCTTTTGGGAAATAACATGCAGATAGCCCTCGCTCTCAGGGGTGTGGCAAAATTTAGATTGTCTCAAACAGATATAATTTGAGTGAGATATATGCAAAATACTATATACTGACTACCGAGTGCTGAGCATCAAGTGTCGAGTTCTGAGTTCTGAGTGCTGAGTGCCAAGTGCCCCAATGCTTTCGGGTATTAACTCCCAGATAGCCCTCGCTCTCAGGGGGTCATCAGAATTTAGATCATCTCAAATGGATGTGATTTGGGTGAGATATGAGCAAAATACTATATACCAGGTGAATTTTGGCATCAAAAGTTCAATGCTTTCGATGTTTTTGATGTCAGGTCTTAATGCTTTTGGGCATTGACATGCATATAGCCCTAGAGCTCAGGGGTGTGGCAGAATTCAGATAGTCTTGAATAGATATGATTTAAGTGAGATATATGCACAATACAATATACAGGGTGAATGAGTACCAAGTGCTGAGTGCCGAGAACCGAGTTCTGAGAACTGAGTGCTGAGTGCCGAGTGCCCCAATGCTTTCAGGCATTAACACCCAGATAGCCCTCGCTCTTAGGGGTCCATCAGAATCCAGATTATCTCAAACAGATGTGATTTTAGTGAGATATGAGCAAAATACTATATATCAGGTAAATTTCAGTATTAGAAGTTCGATGCTTT